TGATTTTTCGAGGGTTTAACGGATCCTCGGGCGAATCTGTCGTAGATGAGGCCTACGTCTGGGTCATTGGCCTGGAGGTTAGCTCAGTTTACGGCCGTAGTGGTCATTGTCAGGGCGTTTAGGTCGAGGTCCTGACAACCTCTGCAGCTGTGGGGTTCGCGCATCGGAATGCGCGATAACGCGTCGGGGTTGAGGTGTTGTTTCCCAGGGCGGTGTACGACGGTATATTCGAAGTCCGCTAGCATCTCCTGCCACCACGCTGTTTGTCCTTCAGGTTCATGGAAACTTTCTAGCCACTGAAGGGCTGAATGATCCGTCCTGATGGTAAACGGTTTACCTTTCAGGAACACCGCAAATTAGTTGGTAAAGTTGACCAGAGCTAACATCTCTCGAGGTGTGGCAATATAATTCCGTTCATGTTTATCGAGGGTATGACTGCCATATTGGATGACATTTTCTCTACCTTCGGCATCTGTCTGTGATAGCACTCCGCCGATCGCATGGTCACTGGCGTCTGTATCCAGTATAAACGGGGTACTGTTGTTGCTCAGGTCCGGGAAAGTGAGGATTGGTGCCGTGGTGAGTGCTTCCTTTAGGTGGGCGAAAGCGGTTTCACACTCGGCTGTCCACAGGAACGCCCGCGTCTTCTCCATGAGCCTGGTAAGAGGGAAAGCGATGCGGGCATATGGCGGAATGAAGGCCCCGTAGTAGCCTGCCAAGCCAAGGAATGAGCGGACCTCGTCTCCAGTTGCTGGCTGTAGCCAGTCCGTCACGGCCTGGACCTTGTCGGGGTCAGACGTGAGCCCTTGGCTACTAACGATGTGACCGAGGAATTGAATTTCTGTTTGAAGGAACCTGTATTTCTTTGGGTTGAATGTCAATCCAGCCTCCTGGTATCTCGTCAGCACCTCTGACAGATTGTCCAGGAGTTCTGGTACAGTGGCTCCCCACACTATAACGTCGTCCAAGTACACGAGGCACTTCAATGGGTATATATTTTACAGTATTTTCTGCAAGTCGCTGCAGCATTATCCAAACCCATGGGTAAC